CGTGTGACAGCGGGGGCGGGTCCGGGGAGGGGGGGGTGCATGTGAGGACCCGGTGCGGCCCTGAAGGGTGGGAGAAGCGAGGGGGTCCTAATTTGGGGGGAATGTAAGGGAGGGAACAACCTTCCTGCTTCAGTTTTTTTCCTTCTTCCTGGTCCGCAGATTTTAATCAATGGTAGGAACAGCCCCGAGAGGGATAGGACTGAAAAATAGTGTGTTCGGACTCTAGCTGCAGCCATTGGTTTTGTGATTGTGCTGTTCATCTATTTTCTATGAGTCCCATGGGGGGGAGGGAGAGCGAAACTAATGGAATTTGAAAGGAAACAATTGAATAAAAGGGTGAAGAGGTGGTGTATCAGAACTTAGAGCTAAATCGTTGCCTTTTAATAGTATAAAGCCAGACTATAAAAGATGTGAAGGTGCTCAAGTTTGGGTGAGTGAACAGTAGGTTAGGGTACTGTTGAAGGTTTCAGTCAAGAGTGGATTATTAGATGTGTGGGTGAGTGTGCTGCCAAGTTCTCAGGTAGACTCTCTTTAAATTTAGAACCTTAAACAATGCTATTAAGAACACAAAACACTATATTGGATAGGGCTCCATAGGCTTTATCATGTTCAAACTTAGGATCCTTATGAAAGATAGTACATGTGTTCCCAAGCAGTAGATGTTGACATTTTTAGTCATTTGTTTTAACTTAATACAACAAAACAAACTGAACTTCCTCCACCCCTTTCCCTTGATTGTGAATCCTGTTCCATAAACATTTACTTTCAGATCTGAAGTATGTTTAAGGCCACAGTTCCCCCCACACCATGCATGAAGTGAACAGGATTTTTTCTTGTTTTATTGTTATTTTACTTTTTCTTTTCCTATTTGAAGTTTTATGCTGCTAATGTTACCAAATTTGGGGGTGGGGTGGGGCAATGTTAGGGATGCCTTTTGGCTTTTATAGTGCCTGATGAAGTCACCTATTCATCCTTCCAGATTGGGTCCAATTCACTTGGAAAATTTTACCAGTCCCCCAAGAACGAATTAATCACCACCTTTTCTGTTAAATTGATACTACTGGTCTCATTTTTCTCTTACTAGTAGAACCTCAGTCTTCTGTGTTATCCCAATAGCTAGAGTTTTCTGGTTTGTGGTAAGTGTCTAATAAACTAACTTTCAGTTATATATTAATAAATGCTGTTAGAAAGGCAGTAATTTATATTGTATACTGTTGGTGGGATAATAGAATTCAAAGTGCTAAAATTTTATTTTCTATTTAAGCAAAATTATTTGGAATATGGATATAGATGTGTTACCAAGTATGAGTCATAGTTTATCCTTCTAAAAGAGGTGCAAAAATTTTGCAGATAAAGGGGAAAATATGAATTAGAAAAATGCATTTTTAAATGTTTTTGCTGTACGGCACGTGCCCTATCTGGAGATAGAGGAAAAGTGAGAAATCACACCACCCCCCTCGGGGTGGGGTGGGGATGAAGACCAAGTTTTTTTTTTTTTTAAGCTAACTTTTGATACTGAAATTCATGAAAAGTCAACACATTATATAAATTCAACTGCTTATAGAAAGATACAAATAGGGTGCTACTGTGGGCTCTATAGAAAACACTACGAATGAATCAAGATTGACAGGTGATATTCTCTGAAGGCTAATGTAACTAAAGAAAGCTGCAACCTAATCAGTTGTATTTTACTCCTAAATCTTAAAATGGCTTGAGCCTTTAGCTAATGAGACTCTTTACATTATAGTGTTCCTTGACAGGCTTGGGCTACCATTTCTGTCAACCTGATTTTGACATCTCTCTTAATTCCACCATCATTACCGGCTTTCCAGTCACTTATGACTCAACGGGTTATCTTCCCCCTGCTTCTTAAGAGACTCATTCATTGTCATCACCTCCACCCCTAAATTTCATCTCCTGAATGGATTACCCACATATCATGAGCAAATAACCACTCACTTTATAAAACAATGGAATGAATTCTTCAGTTTAAGAATCTGTGAAGATTGGCAACTTGATTTGTCCAGATTCTATGCCTGTAAAGTCCCCATCCTGTCATTAGTAACCTATATTTTTCTTGCCTTACTTAATTTCTCTCCTATTCACCTAAATGTAAAAACACTTTCCCCCCATGTCACCTTTTTATAACATTTACCCCCAAAACATTTCAACTTCATGCTTACTATTTCCAAGTAAAAATTGAGGCTCAAAGAGGATGAGTAGAGTCCATAAAACTTTTTAAAGTTCTGCGTCTTCTGTGATCTAGACCCAGTTACTGAAAAAATATTCCAAACCAAACCATTGTGTTTATACTTTCATCCTTTTATTTTTAAAGAATTATTTTAACTCTACTTATTTTATTTTTATTATTTATTTATTTTAATTAGACCAGAGAGAGAGAGAAAGAGAGAGAGAGAGAGAAAGCAAGCTGCCGGGTCCAGGACTCGAACCATAGTCAGCCATGTGGGAGTCTAGCACCTTAACCACCATACCACCTGCCAGCCCTTATACCTTCATTCTTAAAACTCTCCTTACCTCAACTTCCTCATATTTCCATTTTTTCTTTTAAACCTTGATCATCTTTGCTGAGTTCTTAGGGTCCTGTCCAGAAACTTTTTTTTCCCTCAATGTATGCGCAAGACACTAATATGATACTTAAGGACATGGAAATGGAAGGCAAGACAAGGTGTTAAAGTCTCCATCAGTTTCCTCATCTGTATGAATGATAATCATAATGCCTAGCTGATAAGTGATATCAGCAGGTACATTAACATTATCATAATGTCTAGCATATACTATTGCTTTAAAATGGTAGCTATTGTTTGAATTTGCTGTTTCTTGTGAGCACCCATCATTTTAGTAGCAATTAACTTCAATATGTGGGTGTATTGATATCTCTCACCCTGTTTGAATTCCAGTTCTATATTTGTAGATTTTTCATGTATGTCTCCAAGAGGTTGCTTAGCACAGTGGTTCTCAATCTTCAACATGTGCAACATCACAAGAATGTATAGATTTCCGAGCCTCACCTCTAGAGTTACTGATGTATGGGTTAGGGTCTGAGAATTTCCATTTCTACCAAGTTTCCAGATAACAATGATACAGCTAACCCTGGGAAAACACTGAGTGGCACTTTTCTGGATGGCATTCAGACAAGATGGTGAGGAGAAAGGGAGAGGAGACCAAAAGACCAAGCCTTTATGAAAGTTGAGAGAAGAGTGCACTTAGAGCTGGTAGTGTCAGATATCCTGTAAAGTGTGGCGTGGAGATGACAGGACTAGGAGAAACTAAGAGAAGATACTTAGATTTGATTTGATCGACCAGGAGAGTTTCTTTTTTCCTTTCTGTTTTTTTTTTTTTTATTTTTTTTTTATTTTCAGTGTATGTCAGGAACAGAGGGTCGATTTAATTATACTCCTCATTTGGTAGAATATTACCATATTATGGCTGAAAAACATATCATATGCCTTTGAGAGACTGTTTCTTTCTTTATTTTCTATTTTTCTTTCTTTTTTTTTTTTTTTGAGAGGTTTTTGCCATAGGGTGCATGTGCTCGCCAGAAAGACAGAGAGAGACAGAGAGACAGAAAGCAAGAAATCACCTCCCCAGGGGAGATGGCCATGCTAC